CTCTGGAGATAGAGTAAACATATCTGGGCTTCTGTTCCTTTATCTGTGCATAAAAATGGGAAAATAGGGCAAATTAAATGAAAACTACATGAGTTTTCAAAGAATCTGCCAAAAAGTAGGCAGTTACAATTCTTTTGTGTTCTCTTTCTTCCGTATCTTCTCTATTGTAATTTAAAAGACATTAACATGGTCATACACACGGAGAGTCGGAAACAAGGATTGAGAATCTTTAAATAAGGAAATTTTTAAAAAAATCCCCAAAACCCCAAATCCTCCAAGATTTCTCACCCTTCTTTGATCATTACATGCAGTTTTCTAAAATAAGAACCATGGTGTCTGAAGCAGCAAGAGAATCTGAAGGAAGCATCTGAATACCCAACTTGCTACAATATCTGTTCCTTCAAAGAGCATCTAAGTAAAAACCTAATAAAGATATAATTCTTCATTTCCAGAATTTACAAACTGTTTTCCTTTAAGAAGAAGGGCACTTCACATGAGGAATATAATAAAAACAGGGGGAGGAAAGCGGTGTTTTAATTAACTTAAATGTAACTGACAAGGAACAATTTAAAAAGCACATCCTTTTAACAGGTGCAAGTATCAGGGATGCTGGTCAAAGCAAGAAGTTACTAATGCTACTAACTTAGTCGATTTTTCTTTCCCTCTGAGAGTTATAATCAAGATCAGAGAGGGCAGAGTACTCAGATACGGTGTAAGTTAAACAAGCACTTGCATTCACCAATTCTGCAAGAACTGAACACTGAGAAAAACAGGTCCAACTCCTTCACATCATCATTTGCTTTCCCCACCTCCTACTCTACTCTTCCACGCTTCACTCTTACCCAAAGTATCATAGATCATATATATCTAGAGATCTGTATTCTTTCAGTTTAAGGCTTATTCCTGGTTGAACAGACATCCCTCTAAGCAGAGCCCTCTTTCAGATATTCTTATTCATTTACACTTTAGTTTGAAGGAAGTTGATTATTCTGCTTGCATCAACAAATGAGGAGTATAAATGCTTGGAATTAGAGAAAAAGAAGAAAAAGGGGTACAGAAATTAGAGGCTCTGGGTAAGAGAGCCAAATTTTACCTATTGAAAAAATATCATTGTTTTGCCTACGGTTAGAGTTAATTACAATAATCTGCTCTAATCATGCGCCTGTACCTCTCTTTTTCCAAACACTTATTTCAGAATTATGTTTGTCAAGTAGTTAAGGGTAATGACCCTATTTTAGCATCAGAGGGGAGGAAAAAAAAAAAACCCAGACCAAAGCAAAACAGATGTTCTATGAATTGCTGGAAGTCGGCTTCGTCAGAATTACTGAATACATGGTTTCTGACTCGGACAGTATCTCTACAATTGAAATACAAAAAGGGTAGAGCTTGTCTGTGGGCCTCTCTGTGGCCAATTCTTCCCATTTATCTGAATTCACTGATGCTGAGCTGATAAATAGGAAGCAAGTGAATCAATGACAATGGCTGAAATGATGGGTTCACGCACAGTTCAGGAGCCTCACTACAAAATCTATTCAGATCGAGGTGAACTCCAGTTGCTGCTCTTTTCAAAGAGCGCCTAAGTGAAAATGTAATAAAGATATGACTCTTCATTTCCAGAATTCACAATTGTTTTGTGAAGCAGTGCTCTTTTTTTAAAGACAGGGATAGCTGAATATATTTGGGGGGGTTTACAATTTTGGTTAACAACTTCTGCATTTCAAATCAAAGGGAAATTTCTTGAACCAAAGATTTAGTAAAAGTGTACTTTGAAAATTGGTAAAATGCATAACACCAAACATTTAGAAAAAACACTTACTAGCATATTAAGGTTTATGCTACACAAATATACTAAAGATGTCAATAAAGTAAGTCACCAAATTAAAAACTCAAACTACGATGATGATTGCATGAGCCTAAATGGGAAAGGAGACAAAGAAGAGATTCGGGTTGGAGATATTTACCTTGTGGGTTAGCATCTTGTTCTAAGGGCTGGCCTAGGACCAGGCAGTTTCATCCCTTGGTTTCCCCTGCTTTCCCCTTGTCTCATCTTTCCCTTTCTCTTCCTTGACACTGCACTGGTGGTCAGTGTGGTAAGAGGCACACCTATGAATCCTTCTTAAACCATGGCTTTAATTGGAGAGACACATGTGTATTGCTTGCCCAGAGCTTTTAAAATGTGCTACCTCTTTTTTACACACATATAAGCTCTTGATTCCATCACCTCTCTACCTGAAGACATCTTCTCACGCTCACTCTTAGCAAAGTTTTGCAAATGCCAGAAATAAACCCACAGACGTCTTTCGAAATTCTCTCATCTTGCCCGTGCCAAGATGTTGTTCTATCCTTTTATTATTTAATGCATTGTTTTATTGAACACGGCATACTGGTATTTTTGTTTGTTTGACAGCTTTGGAGTTCACAGACGCCATCATGATCCAAAGTCAAAAAGAGAAAGAGGAAAGAGAAATTAATAGTGAAACAGAGACATGCATTAAAAAATCAAAGAGAAATGAACGGGAGAGCAGAAAGACATGTTCACTGAGAGTTAATTTGGAGTAAATCTAAGCACAGATTTTCTTTTTTAAATTCTTTAACACGGATTATATATTTATTTGTCACAGAATAAAATTTTCCTCAATAGTTTGTAAGTTTTGAAATAGACCTGTATTTCAGAGGTTTCTGCAGAACACGCTGTTCACTTCATCTAACAGCATCTTAGCACTTCTCAGTGTTTATACACACAAACTCCATCCTGAGTGATGGTTAATTAACTATTGATGGGTCCTGGCATACTAGGGCTTCCCAAGTGACAGCTCAGTATTCTTTACTAATCGTTTAATGAAAACACTCACATGAATAATGAATCCGGCATTTCCCTAGATACACACACAACTTTTGTAATAGTCATAAAGGCAGGAATATGCATGGTTAGAACAAAACATCGTGGTTTGCAAATGTTTTCACAATGCCAACCGGAGAGCTTATGTTGAAAATAAAGCTCCGGTCTTGAGGTTGCTATTAAGTTTCACATTAAAATATAATATGATATTATCAGCATGTAATATTAAAAGCACAAAAATGGTTATATTTAAGAAGTTAACACCATTATTTGCTATAGAAGCTCGAAATGGAATAAGCATAATTTAGATGTTAGTCATCACAGTGCCAAACTTTAAAGTTTGAATTAAAAGAAGCGCATATCTATAACACACGCACCCATGAATTATATATGTATTATAATGATGCAGGAAAACAATGTGATTAGAATGTCTACGAAACTTATGATTCACCTCAGAATCGAAACTTGTCATCATTTAGCCTCATTTTACAGGTAAGAACATGGAATCTTTGATCTTAAGATTCAGCCCTCATGAAACCACAAGGGCTAGGCTGACCACTGGACCGGCGATGTGGCACGCCAGCCCTTAAACAGGGTTTCAGCCAACCCTCTGACTCAGAGCCAAGCCTGCCGTGGGTTAACGTTGGCCTTGGAGAATCTAAGTTACTACAACCAGTTATTTGAACAAATGGGAGAGAAAAGTGTTTTTAGAAATGTTCCAGTGGAAGAAAATGATTGGTAACAGACATTACGGGCACTCTTAGAAAAAGATATGTTTCAAGAGCTAGAAGTCCTAACCTTTGTCTCGTTGTCACTTATTATTATGACTTTGGACAAGTCACTGGACTTCTCTGACCCTCGGTGTCTTCATTTGTAAACTCAGCATAATGACACTTGCAATACTTGTATTTTCTGGTTGTCATGGACTTATCCTCCACACTTACTATTACTGTTACTACAATCACTAATAATAATACTAATTTCACCATTTCTTGACCTTTCCGTGTGTCAAAACTTTGCAATTCACTTTTTATGCTTTGTAACTTCATCACACTCTCACAACGGTCCTGTAAGGTAAGTATTCTTTCTTACTACAGATGAAGAAACATCTCAGAGTGGTTATTTAACTTGCCAGAAGTCACACAGCTAATTAAGAGCTTGAATGTGAATTTGAATCCAAATCTTTCTGATTGCAAATTTCATTAGATTCACTATACCCTATTTCCTCTAATATATCACATGTATTTGTGTATATACAGACACATATGTAATGTAAATATATTATACATATTACCTACATAACATAGATACATTATTCGTTTTACAAACACACACACACACGCATTAAATTCTAAAATGCCCTAGTTATTTTTTTAAATTTCAAGACGAAATGCATGAAACAGAGTAGACATTTAGTCAATATTTGGGAAAAAATAATTAATATATGGGAGGTAACTAAGATCATTTAAATAAAATGTTAATTAACTTGTGTGTCGGCAGTAACTGTGGCTTAATTTAAATCCTCCTCTTCTTTAAGATTATATTATTAAAAATTATGCTAGAGAAAAAATATACATGGACTAGTCATAAGTTCAATTTTAGACAGAAAACTGACAACGATGAAAAAGCTGCTCTTTTCAATAAACAAGGGCTAAAATCTAACCCTGAGTCATAGTTAAAGGAGAGGAAAAGATCCCTTTAAAAATTACATATGATTTGAATTTTTCAAAGGGGTAACACATTATCTTACAAATTTAAAATTTCAAAAAAAGCTACTCTGTACTTTCCTATCAACACAAGACAATAATGCTTGTCACATTTTATTTCTCTTGACTGTTCTATATGATTAATGATAATGATGATAATTGGATAGTGACATTTAAAAAAGAACAATTTTTTTTTCAGAGTAAAGGAGAAGAGGCGGGAAGTATTAACAAAGAAATCTCATTTCTATTCAAAACACAAATTTTCAACGATGCAAAAACACTCCACGTTTCCCCTAATCTCCTCCCAAAGAACACGAGGCTGACCTGGAAGATGCTGACACGTGCGCCCGACCAGAGCTAGAATGACATGTCTGGGGAACAGGAGATGCTACTGTTTCCATCATCCATTGAACACCTTGGCAATTCTTATTTCATCCTGAGAATGTGATACTTACTCTTGTACTGCTCTGGCTATGGAAAGGGCCGTAGATCCAGTTTCATTAACGCTATCTAAGGTCACATTTGGCAGGTCATCATCATCACTGTCACTTTTACTCTGTCTGGGAGATAGGCCTCGGGGGTCCATTTGTGCTGGGGAAAAAAGGCATATATAATGAATTACAATTAGTGTGCAGAAAGTTAACCTTGTCCTGGACCAACATCAAGCACGGAATGTCTCTTCGGTGTATGTCACACACATGGAATTCTCCAGTGATCCCGAGAGTTAGTGAAAGCGATGGATTGTGTGTACTGAGCGCTCACTGGCTCTTTTCCCTCGTCCGTCTGATTTACCAAACCTCCATCAGCTCTCAGTAGTTTCAGGGGATGATGACAGAACAGAACCTGTACAACCCATAAATACTACTACCAACTTCTGAGAGGTCAGAAGCTGATTAGGTAGCTCGTGAGTTCCTGTTCAACCCTCTGGCCTCTTCGCTTCTGCTTCTGCTGCCAGAGCTCTGGTCATTTTGCTGCACGTTAGCACTTTCCCCAGAAGGTGGAGCAGGAGGGAGAGACGGCTGTAGTTGCTTATAGCGCTCATCATAAGCTGAAAGAAGAACAAGGTTTACAAGACTCACAAAAATGTTTAGGTATTTTTCATACTTCGGTGAGTCCTGGTCTCCCGTTCTCTGCTGCTCTAAGTGGATCTGAGTGCAGGAAAATGACAGAAGCAGCAGCATTTTAAACGTGTTCATAGGCACTGGAAAGCGCCCTTCGTCTCCATCCTGATCTCATTTTCCAAAAAGGCATCTCTAGAAAAGATTCTCCTCCCACTGCAAACTTGCCAAAGCGAAAAAAGCCCTATGTTCTGATCTCTGTTGATTGAGACCATCTGATTCTTTCAAATGAGAGAATTACCATCAACACTGAACATATTAATGCAAATTAAAAAAAACAGATTTCACTTTCACCTCATTCTTCTCAAGACCAGCTTTAGCATCCACTGCCTGGAATTTCCATCAGCCCTCACCTCAAGCAACAAATACGCACAACTTCTAAGTTAAATGTGCAGCACTAGCTACATAATTGCATTGCTAAAATTCACGACTTCAACCCTCGGCCAGCTCGAACCAGAGCCCAGAGTCCTGCTCTTCAAACCTGCCCATGTAAGATTCCTAAAAGCACCACTAGTTGCAAAGAACAGCAAAGTGCACTTAAAATCACGGTTACAGTGACATTTGGGTATATTTCCAATTTCATTTTTTCCCCTCAAATCTTTTTTTTTTTGTTAGTGTTTATCATGTGTTAGGTAGAGCCACAGGGAAATCCTGGTATTTTCCCATTGTTTTTACCCACAAAAGGCAATTTCTTATGATTCTACCTAATATTTATAACATGAGTAGAAAAACTATATACCTAGAGAGTTTTGACATGCTTCTAACTTAAACTTGGCTAGGAAGGAACTTCTATGTCTGTTGAGTCTAGTGTGCTAGTGTACCTGACAAACATCCTGCCTCTAAGTATAAACACACCAAAATGTACCCTGAATAAAGGAAGCACTTGGTAAATGTTGCTTAAGTGAAAGATAATATAATTAAAGTAATCTAAAGCAGTGGTCCTTTACTGAGGGCAAATCTGCCCCCCAAGAGACATCTGGCAATGTCTAGAGACAAACTGATTTGTCACAACTTGAAGGGAGGAAGATGCTTCTGCCAAGGACGCTGCTAGGCACCCCATGATACACAGGACAGTCACTTCCCCATGGCAAAGAATTAACCAGTCTAAAATGTCCATAGCACCAGGTTGAGAAACTCTAATCTAGAGATTTACGAGTTTTAACACAAAGGTGTTATATCTGATGACTTCCAATTGCATGACTATGTTCTAGGTTCAAAGTTACTAGCAAAGAAATTAAATTACATGTTGGATTATCCATATTTGCTGGTTCTATCCTCAAATAAAACAACTCACTGTCACATGACTCAGCACTCACAACTTCCACAAATACAACACTTGCTTCCTCAAATGCCAGGAATTATGCAGCGAGGCTCATTAAGAGTGCTTGGATGTTGTCTTTGTACCACACGGTAGGACTGTTTCTCTTCCATCTGATCTCCAGAGGAGATTCCCTAAGAGGTGAATGTTTGAGAAACTCTCTGTAAAGTAACAGGTTCTAGAACCATCCAATAACAAGAGAGCTACTTAAGCACTCCGTCATTCCAAAGGCACTGAAAAGCATCAGATCATTTAAAATTTATTTTGGCTGCAAGCAACAGAAACTGGCTCAGGCTAACTTATAGTAAATGAATGTACTGGAAAGATAATGAATAGCTCACAGAGTGGAAGGCAAAGATGGACAATCAGCACTCAAGTAACCCAGGACACAGGGATGATACAGGCATCTCACCCCAGAATTCACAGATAGTTTCCTTTGGGGCAATCCCATTACAGAACGATTCCTTTAACAGTCATTCATAACTACTCAAATTCAGCCAAGAAAATGACCTATCTAGGCTTCCAAATCACGTAGTGTGTGGTGTTACACCTGTAAACATCTACAATCTAACATTTAAAGTTCTTAAAACATCACGCACTGAGACTCCTTTGCCAAGACACCAAATTAACAAACAGCCAAAGAAAAAAGAATATTCTGGTGGTCCCATTTTAATCAAGACAACCACAGCGCTCATAGGTAAGTAACACAACTCAAGGAAGAGACAGGCAGTTAACCAATAAACAATCTGGCTCTGAAAGATAAAGTCAGGTTGATGAAAGATGCCAGATAACTGGTGTGAGGGCTGATCATCTGAATTCTGTTATGTTTACATCTTAATGAAAGTTTAAAATATGTTAAATATGCCATCTTTTTTGATGTACTTTTCAGGAACATTATAATTGAGGATTTCTTTCCAATATTTTCAATAAATATTATGAAATACATCTGCTACCACCATGCTGGAAAACTCTTCTTACCCATACCTTCAGCCAAGTCGAGGAAGTAATTAGAAAAGCTTTTTAAAATTTGCATTGCTGATTAGGTCAGATGATTAGCTTATCTGCATACTTGCATAATTCCACTCTATTTTTATTAAATGTAGGGTAGGGACATCTACCCTAGTTAACCTCCATCAGTCTTTCAGTTTCTTGGCTCCTTTAGGAAACTCCAATTCTCTGGGGTGCCCATTTGGAGAAAAAGGAAAAGTTAAATGGGCACCAGAACCAAAAACATCCCTACTTTCCCAAGCAAGAGAGCAGGAGATGATTTGTAAGCATCGAATAAGAATTTACATCTGAGAGTTTGTTCCTATTAAGTGAAAAAGGGATGACAGTTTTGGGTACTCCAATTCATTGCTGATGGAAGTGTCATTCTTGAGCTGAGGCACTTGGGGACACCATGCGAGCTTCACTCCATGTGAAAATCCTGGGAAGATTAAGGGCAGAACCCCCAAACCTGCGGTTGAACCTATTTATTCTGACTTTCAAACACCCGCCTATGGTCACCTGTAACTATAAAGGTCACCTCAATGAGCTGTCTCCCTGTATTCATGCCCTTGTGTGGCTGCTTCCCACAGCAGCTCTGGACTTGGCTAGACGACTTGCTGTCATTTGTGATGTACTGGATACATTCCAATCACCAGACGACCGTGGTCATAGAAGTGACTAGCATGAGAACTGCTCAGGTAAACCCATTCCATATTTTTAAGACTTTTTTTTTCCTACTTTTTTTGGAGGGAGGAAGTAATTACATTTATTTTTTCATGGAGGTGCTGGGGATTGAACCCAGGACCTCGTGCGTGCTAAGCACGTCCTCTACGGCTGAGTTATACCCTCCCCCTAGTCTATATTTTTGACTCTCAGAACTAAGAGCAAATAAAATAGTTGCTATTTCAATATACTAAATTTGGGGGTGTTTTGTTACAAAGCTATACAAAATCAATGTAGCATGTTCCTCTCCCAGCTCCTTCCAGTGATTTCCTGGCAATGATGTGGACGAACTTCTGCTACAGTTACAGTCAGCCTATCACGTGCTCTCTTCTCCTCCCAAGAGGTAACCTGGCCTTAGATGACATAAATTTAAGTGGGCTCTTAATATAAAACTGGAAGACAAATACCATACATTATTTTACATTATTTGCTTCTTTTTTTGTTGTTTTTCAATTGAGTGGGTTTACAATGTTGTGTTAATTTCTGGTGTACAGCAGAGTGATTCAGTTATATATATATTTTTTTCATGTTCTTTTTCATTATAAGCTATTACAAGGTATTGAATATAGTTCCCTGTGCTATACAGTAGGACCTTGTTCATCTATTTTATATATAGTAGTTACATATGGTAGTATCTGCAAATCTCGAACTCCCAATTTATCTCTCCACCCTTCCCCTCCCCCTTGTAACCACAAGTTTGTTTTCTATGTCTGTGCGTCTGCTATTTTGTAAGTAAGTTCATTTTACTTCTTAATCCCAAATATGCAAAATGTATTTAGAGGTATTTTGTCTTTAGAAGCATTGTCTTTGATCCTTGGCCATGCTTCAGGCAAGCTTCTACAGGAAGGGGCCATCAGCTGGAATTATTGTTCCAGTGAACAAAGCTTTTCTCCCCAAGTTCACAGTTCACAGGAGGCTCTTATGCGTAGATTTCCAGGTATGTAGTTACCCAAAACTGTGTTTCCTATGTCTGCCTCTTCAGAACTCAACTGAAGACAGTTCAACTTTGCTCCTCCCCCTCCTCGGCCGCCCCCTGCCCCATACCAGTGGACTGACAGACACAGCAGCATCAGCGCCCCCCACCTCAGCTTGGGTGTTCTTCTAACTCCCTTAGAAACGAACTGGCCAGTTCAGCTACTCTTCAGGGAAAGGAAGTTTTCCCATAAGTCACCATATTTAATGTGTACAATACAGCCATCTTTGAACATACATGGAAACTTACAGGCTAACATTTCCTATCCAGAAGGAATGATTCTACCCCCTTGACCTCGGCCCATCAGGGCTGGAGGGGCAAAGGGTGTGCAGATGGAAGGGGTGTGAGGCAGCTGGGTGCGGGCAGGTGCCCTGCTATCAGCCTCCCTCTTCCTCTGTCGGTGGCTGACAGGCTGCCTGCCACCTGCAGGTGTCCTCATTGCCCGCTCTGCCAGGGCTGAATGGTGCCCCAG